TATAAATTCAGTGCCCTTCTCCATGTTGAAAGTCAGTCGTTAACTTGTTCTCTGAAAAATAGCATATTTGGACAAACACAATCCTCTCCATCAGTTTACTAAGGACAGGCAGTAAACTGATTGGACGGCTGTTAGAGCCAGCAAAGGGTTCTTTCCAATTTTTTTGAAATTACTTTAGCTTCCTTCCTGTGGTCAAACACTCTTTGGTTAAAAACATGAAAGGTTTTGGGTGTTGAGACCCAGGTTGTGTAGGTCTTGATCCAGCTGGTCGGACCACCAGGCTCTTGGCTTTCCTCTCAAAAATCAAATTTTATTGGTCACATACACATATTTAGCAGATGTTATTGCGGGTGTAGCGAAATGCTTGTGTTCCTAGCTCCAACAGTGCAGCAGTATCTAACAATTCACAACAACATACACAAATCTACAAGTAAAAGAATGGAATTAAGAAATATATAAATATTAGGACGAGCAATGTAGAATATAATACAGTATATACATATGAGATGAGTAAAGTAGTATGTAAACATTATTAAAGTGACTAGTGTTCCATGTCTATAAATATAGGGCAGCATCCTCTAACATGGTGACCACACCACCCGCGTCGCATGCGCGAGCATTGAGAAATAAATGTACACATACGTTATTCAATCATTGCACCCACACTGCTCGCTCGCGTCTGCGTAGCCAGGCGCTAAAATAGAACTTGGTTCTATTTGTGACGCTTGACGCGCTGCAAGTCCCGCCTCTCCCATCTCCTCATTGGTTTTTAGGAGCATATACCCACGTGGGTGATTGAAAGATGAACTGTCCACCCTCCAGTCCAGTAGGTGGTGGTAATGCCTCTTAAAGTTGATAGCCAACCGCCATATAAAGTCCAGAGAAGAAGAAGAAGCCTGAAGGAGGAGAAAATACTAGAAACTCACTCTGTTTACCCTTTTATCTGTGGATGAATTGTCAGAGTAGAGGACCGTGTGCATTTCAGGTTAAAAAAAAACAACCCAATGTTTATATCCCAGGACAAATTAGTTAGCAACAGCAAGCTAGCTAGCTAAATTGCCATAAATGTTTAATGCTTTTCGACCTGTCCCCAAATGAATATAGTTGGTTCAGAGTTCATTTTGATATTTCAACCTGCGTGTCCTGATCGCGTCTGGTGCGGGTGGAAAACTCAACATGAGGACGAGCGGTGCGGTCAGCATTTAAGGTGCAGGGTTGAGTAACCAGGTGATGGCACGCTAGTGATGGCTATTTAACAGTCTGATGGCCTTGAGATAGAAACAGTTTTTCAGTCTCTCAGTCCAAGCCTTGATGCACCTGTACTGTGAACAGGCCGTGGCTCGGGTGGTTGATGTTCTTGATTATCTTTTTGACCTTCCTGTGACATCGGCGGCTGTAGGTGTCCTGGAGGGCAGGCAGTGTGCCCCCGGTGATGCGTTGGGCAGATGGCACCACCTTCTGGAGAGCCCTGAGGTTGCGGGCGGTGCAGTTGGGGGAGTGGCCAGTTGGGGGATGGCACATTGAGGATAAGAGCAGGCTCAGAGGTGGGTTTGATCTGGCCAGGACAGGTGACCAAACTGTCAGAGTCGGGACACATTGCACCAATTCATTTTTATTTATTTAAATAATCATAAAACACAGTTTTGCAACATCTTTAACTTTTCACAATCAACAGATGGAAAAAAGGCAGACTCCTTATGGAATGATCACATGAAAACCCCCAAAGTATGACCTCTACTGCTTACCCCTGACCCTCCTCAACAACTCTCTCTCTCTCTCACACACACACACAAGTCTTTTGACTAGATCCAGAAGGGGAGTAAGTCGCTCTGGATAAGACCGTCTGCTAAATGACTAAAAATGTAAATGTAAAAAAATTAGGAATTCACATCCCTTGACTAGATCCCAGAGGCTTCACTAGATCCCTCGACTAGATCCCAGAGGCTTCACTAGATCCCTTGACTAGATCCCAGAGGCTTCACTAGATCCCTCAACTAGTTCCCAGAGGCTTCACTAGATCCCTCGGCTAGATCCCTGAGGCTTCACTAGATCCACTTTTCACTAAGAACCAGTAGGGGGGGGGGGGGGGGGGGGGGGGGGGGGCATCCCTTTAGAACAGACTTACAGTTTGAAAGAAAAATTAATCTGCAGCCGAAGGTACTGCATGCACAACCACCTCTACACTCTCCAACCCCAGAAGAGCAGCGTTTGTCTCGGTCTACTCTGCACCCATTGGTTGTTTTTATTGAATTCTCATAAGGATATAATATTATTTGAAAGTTAAAATTACTATTGCCATATAAAAAAAAAAATTCATTACATTTGGACTCCTCACTCAACCCTTATGTGACCAGACCCTTCCCATTCACTGTAGTGCCCTGAAAAGGCCAGAGCAGCGCAGCACTGTGGCCCAGGATGCCAGCCCAACAGAATGAGCGCCTCAAACCACCTGTGATAGTAAAGTACTGTTGGTCTTCCTCTGACACAGTTACATTCATGTTCATCATACATATTACATGAGCTCTGCTGGGAAGCAGAGAGGAACAGGAGAAGTGAGGGGGACAACTGGGCCCAAAATCTGTCTTTTCCAGCAGATGGCACTTTTATTACAATTTTTTCACCTCACTAAAAGCGAGGAGTTTTTGAGTGGAGGTCAATGAGTGTCAAATTCGGTTAACAAGAAAATGTATGGCTTGTTTTCTACGTGTGGCTTACTTGATCGGAATAGGGGCATTGAGGGCATTTCTTTCCATTGTTAGAGCAGCCACTAACCCATCTGGTCAATATAATGGATCCATCTGTGTGGGTAGACATGGCCACCAAATCTTACAAAATTAACAAGATTATTGCTCATATATCTTACAACATTCACATGATTATTGCTCAGATCTTATAACATGAATAATAACAGAAGATAAATTAAAGCAAAATCGGAGAGAAAAAACTAAAGCCATTACGTCAGAACTGCTGTTCTGTTTGGCCCAAATGCAAAGAGCTAAGTCCCTCGTCACAGACAGACAGATGAGCACTACGTGGTCCAGACAAAGCTAGACGAGCACTACGTGGTCCAGACAAAGCTAGATGAGCACTACGTGGTCCAGACAAAGCTAGATGAGCACTACGTGGTCCAGACAAAGCTAGATGAGCACTACGTGGTCTGTCTGTCTACACTCCATATTGCTGGTCCCTCAATTCAGAGTTCATTGTAATGTGTCTATCCGTCTGACTACTCACTGAAAAATGCAAAATGTAAATGTACCCTACAATCACCCAGTCCACCACCATCAACTAGACCAGTAGTTACCCTACAATCACCCAGTCCACCACCATCAACTAGACCACTAGTTACCCTACAATCACCCAGTCCACCACCATCAACTAGACCACTAGTTACCCTACAATCACCCAGTCCACCACCATCAACTAGACCAGTAGTTATCCTACAATCACTCAGGAAAACAGGTCTGGAGAGAACAACCACATCTTGAAAACTAAACGATTATGGTGTATAATTTAGAGGCTGGTCCTGGGGCCAGGGCTTCCATTTTAAGGCTGAAGCAAGACAGTTATCCTCTAAGCTGTTTACCCAACAAGGCGGCGGGGGAGGCCTTTTGATATCGTTTCAACTGCAGATTGCCCCTTTAACAGGTTAGCTAGAGTCTGTGGAAAGCAGTCTTATAGACAATATGTCTCTCAGATGTACAATGTCCCTTAACAATAGAGCAGAGAAATAGTCTATAGTTCAGGCCAAACTTCATAGAAATGTAACTACTCACATGTAAACGTCTAAATAGTTACTGATTCCACTAGCAGGAATATAAATACAGACCACATTTCATCTCACAGTACAAGCCTGTGTGTCACAATACAAGCCTGTGTGTCACAATACAAGCCTGTGTGTCACAATACAAGCCTGTGTGTCACAATACAAGCCTGTGTGTCACAGTACAAGCCTGCGTGTCACAGTACAAGCCTGCGTGTCACAGTACAAGCCTGCGTGTCACAGTACAAGCCTGCGTGTCACACTACAAGCCTGCGTGTCACAGTACAAGCCTGTGTGTCACAGTACAAGCCTGTGTGTCACAGTACAAGCCTGTGTGTCACAATACAAGCCTGTGTGTCACAATACAAGCCTGCGTGTCACAGTCCAAGCCTGCGTGTCACAGTCCAAGCCTGCGTGTCACAGTACAAGCCTGTGGGTCACAGTACAAGCCTGTGTGTCAAACTCAACATGGCACATTAACATTGCTCTGAAAACCAGTGAGGGTGATAATCACTCCGATTTAAAAACTGTACCTTTTACTGCAAGATGTCACAAATATCTCTACGTTTCTCACAGCCCAGTCCTCAACAACAAAATAGCAGGTACATTAACAGGAGGTCAGGAGTTGACGGTTCATCTGTAGCACTGAAAACAGGATACAACCATGATCAACTCCCCTGCTATCTGTAAAGCATACCTAGAGAGAACCCCCCCCCAAAAAATAGAAAAATACATGTCTGCTTAAAAGAAACAGAAAACATGGTAGCAGTATAGTCTAGTCATCACTATCAGCAGACAGCACTTCCTTTTGAGTGTTGAATGAGAGGGAGGTCGTTGTTACTATGGTTATGACGTCATCATCCCTTCCTGTTGTCCAGTGTGGTTCCGATTCCACCGCAGGTCGTTGTCCCGGCAACGAGGACAACAACAACCCCACTCCAACCAATCAGTAGTCCATCCAACAGAACAGGTAAATAAGACATTTGAGATGTGTGATAAGAGGTGTCTGTTAGGCTGCTTTCACTCTAAACCCACTCCATCCCTCCTTCACTCTCCTCCTCTGGGTCTCATGTGTGTCTAAACCCACTCCATCCCTCCTTCACTCTCCTCCTCTGGGTCTCATGTGTGTCTAAACCCACTCCATCCCTCCTCCACTCTCCTCCTCTGGGTCTCAGGTGTGTCTAAACCCACTCCATCCCTCCTCCACTCTCCTCCTCTGGGTCTCAGGTGTGTGTGTGTCTCTCTAGTGCTGGTGTCCAACGGACAGCACCAGTGGTATCAGACAACCCAGAACCAGAGCCCCAACCTCCACCTTGCTCAGCCCCTTCGCTGCTTCCTTCCCCGGAGCGGGGGAGTGGCTGTGTCCGGTCCCGCCCACCTCAGGCAGAACGTGTACGGTGGCGACATACAGGAAGGTCCCGGCAGAGAACAGCATGGCCACGCCTGTGGCGTTCACGTCTGACAGCGCCTCTTTACTGCTCTGGAGGGGAGAGGACAACAACATGGGGGTTGTTAGATAGGGAGGAGGTTATTGGGGTATTGGGGTATTGGAGAGGGGGTAGGGGGTATGGAGAGGGGTAGTGGGGGTATTGGAGAGGGGGGTAGTGGGGTATTGGAGAGGGGGTAGTGGGGTATTGGAGGGTAGGGTTTGGTGTGTGGGGTATTTGGTAGAGGTGAGGGGGGTATTGGAGAGTGGTTAGTGGTATTGAGGTGGGGTAGTGTGGGGATTTGGAAGGGTAGGGGGTATTGGAGAGGGGGGTGTGGGGGTTGGAGGGGGGTAGTGGGGTATTGGAGAGAAGGGTAGTGGGGTATTGGAGCGGGGCGGGGGGTCGTGGGGTCTGTGGCGGCGGGTCGTGGGGTTTTGGCGCGGGGGTCTGTGGGGGTCGTTTGGCGGGGGGTGTGTGGGGTTTGGAGCGGGGGGTGGGTTTGGGGGTTGGCTTTGGGGGGGGGTCGTGGGGTTTGGCGCAGGGGGGTCGTGGGGTCTTGGCGCGGCCGGGTCGTGGGGTCTTGGCGCGGGGGGTGTGGGGTCTTGGGCGGGGGGTGTGGGGTATTGGCGAGAAGGTAGTGGGGTTTTGGGCGGGGGGTGTGGGGTCTTGGACGCGGGGTGGTCAGGTGGGGTTTGGGAGGGGGGTGTGGGGTCTTGGCGCGGGGGGTCGTGGGGTCTTGGCGGCCATGGGTCGTGGGGGTCTTGGCGGGGGGGGTCGTGGGGTCTTGGCGCGGGGGGTGTGGGGTCTTGGGCGGGGGGTTGGGGTCTTGGCGGGGGGTCGTGGGGGTCTTGGCGGGGGGGTCGTGGGGGTCTTGGCGAGGGGTCGTGGGGTCATTGGCGCGGGGGGTCGTGGGGTTTGGGCGGGGGGTCGTGGGGTCTTGGCGCGGGGGTCGTGGGGTCTGGCGGGGGGTAGTGGGGTCTTGAGAGGCGGGTCGTGGGGTTTGGGCGGGGTAGTTGGGGTACTTGGCGAGGGGGTGTGGGGTCTTGGGGGAGGGTCGTGGGGTCTTGGCGGGGGGAGTGGGGTTTGGCGGGGGGTCGTGGGGGTTTGGCGCGGGGGGTCGTGGGGTTTGGGCAGGGGTCGTGGGGTCTTGGGCGGGGGGTGCGTGGCGTTTGGGCGGGGGTCGTGGGGTCCTGGGGGGGGTGTTGGGGGCTTGGCGCGCCGGGTCGTGGGGTCTTGGCGCGGGGGGTGCGGGGTGGGGGTATTGGCGCGGGGGGTAGTGGGGTCTTGGGCGCCGGGTCGTGGGGGTCTTGGCGCGGGGGGGTCGTGGGTACTTGGGCGGGGGTCATTGGGGGTCTTGGGGGGGGGGTCGTGGGGTCTTGGCGCGGGGGTCGTGGGGTACTTGGAGGGGGGTCGTGGGGTCTTGGCGCGGTGGGGTAGAGGGGGGGTTGGGGTTGGCGCAGCAGGGTCGTGGGGTTTGGGAGGGGGTAGTGGGTCTTGGCGCGCGGTGTGGGGTTTGGCCGGGGGGGTGTGGGGTTTGGCGCGGGGGTCGTGGGGTCTTGCCGGGGGGTCGTGGGGTCTTGGCGGGGGTCGTGGGTATTGGCGCGGGGGTAGTGGGGTCTTGAGGGGGGTGTGGGTCTTGGGGGGTCTGGGGATGGAGGGGTGTGGGGTCTTGGCGCGGGGGGTCGTGGGTCTTGGCGGGGGGTCGTGGGGTTCTTGGCAGCGGGGGTCGTGGGGTATTGGCAGCGGGGTGTGGGGTCTTGGGGGGGGGTCGTGGCGTCTTGGGGCGGAGGGTCGTGGGTCTTGGGCGCCCGGGTCGTGGGGTCTTGTGGCTGGGGGTCGTGGGGTCTTGGCGCGGGGGTCGTGGGGTCTTGGCGCGCCGGGTCGTGGCGTCTTGGCGCGGGGTCGTGGGGTCTTGGCGTCTTGGCGCGGGGGTCGTGGGGTCTTGGCGCGGGGGGTCGTGGGGTCTGGCGCGGGGGGTCGTGAGTCTTGGCGCGGGGGTCGTGGGTCTTGCGCGGGGGGTCGTGGGGTCTTGGCGCGGGGGGTCGTGGGCGTCTTGGCGCGGGGGTCGTGGGGTTTGGCGCGGGGGGCGTGGTGGGGTCCTTGGCGGGGGGTCGTGCGTCTTGGCGCGGGGTCTGGGGTCTTGGCGCGGGGGGTCGTGGGGTCTTGGCGCGGGGGTCGTGGGTCTTGGCGCGGGGGGTCGTGGGGTCTTGGCGCGGGGGGTCGTGGGCGTCTTGGGCGGGGGTCGTGGGGTCTTGGCGCGGGGGGTCGTGGGGTCTTGGGCTCGGGGGTCGTGGCGTCTTGGCGCGGGGGGTCGTGGGGTCTTGGCGCGGGGGGTCGTGGGGTCTTGGCGCGGGTGGTCGTGGGGTCTTGGCGGCGGGGTCGTGGGGTCCCTTTGGGGGTATTGGAGGGGGTAGTGGGGTATTGGAGAGGGGGGTAGTGGGGTATTGGAGAGGGGGGTAGTGGGGAGGTCAAAGACCACCAACTGACCTGGCTGAGTCCTACAAAGGTAACCATGGCGAGGACAGGTGCTGCCAGGGCGAAGACCAGCAGGTGTTTACGGATCCGGTTCCTCTCCAGACCAGCATGCATCAGGAAAGAGACCAGGCCAAAGGCTGCTGGGGCCTGGGGGAAAGACAGAGACAGGGTTTAAACACACACGGCGTGTACAAAACATTAAGAACTCCTGCTCTTTCCATGACAGACTGACAAGGTAATCCAGATGAAAGCTATGATCCCTTATTGATGTCACTTGTTAAATCCACTTCAATCAGTGTAGATGAAGGGGAGGCAGCAGGGGGAGGCCGTCAGGAAGGCAGTGTGTCCAGGCCTCAAATGTCCCGGCGGCCACCCGTCTGTGGCCTTAATGCCCTCAACAAAAAAAAACATGCCTTGTGGCTAAACTGGCCCTTGTGCCCTTGGGCTGAAAACAATCATTATAATTCCCATCTCCCGGCTGCCAATCGCCGCACTCCAAAGCACACGGTTCTCTCAGATCTCTCAATTCTTATTAGCCAATGCCTGTCACGTGATTGGGTCCTTCTCACAGGACTCAGTAGGCTACAAGTGAAGATAGACACATTGGGGATGCAACGGCACGCGCCCTTATCCAATTCCGAGGCGCATATTGAAGATGTTTGAAGAACTGTCCACATTTACTTTTTGTCAGCCAACAAGATGAGTAATTAACTGCAAAAGCACTAGTCTATTTCAAACTACTATCCCCCATAGTACACATTTTGACCTATTCTATTGGTCAGCTTGTCGTTCTGTGCGAGAAAGAAATATTCCAAACAGACTCTGGGACAGTTGTGGAATGATAGATCCCAAATTAATACAACTACTGTAGATCAAAAAGCAACGAGGCTGATGCAACAGATCAGAACGTTTAGCTTAAAATGTTGATAAACTATTAGTCTGTTTCTTCATATTATAAACGCAGCAATGGGCACACGGCAGCAGGCTATAAGCACGAATGTTCCAAAATGCAATTAGCGGGAAAACACCCTTCTCAAAAGCGCACTGCAAATGAGAGCAGTTTCATATGACAGATATAAAAAATATCCTTTAGAAATTTAGAAAGAGGGAAGATCTAAAGATGCAACAACTAGCACGGGTTGTTAATATGACTAGGATTGTGTCTTTGGCTGCTGGAGAACAAAATAAAGTTGAGAACATGAGAGAAATACTGGGATTCCATTGCTATGAGGAAGTGTTTATAAAATAATTCCCTTAACATTCCTATGGTCGGAACACGGTAAGGCATGCCTCATAAAATGACAAAAAAAAAGAAGGTTTTAAACGTTTATGGTTAAATAATTCCAAAAGATTGATTGCAAACCTGCTCAAACAGGCACTGGCCTTTGTCTCCCCAACTGAACGAACAGTGCCTAAAGTATGTGGACAGAATCAAGCCTTTAGATATTAATAATCCTACATTATATTTGTCAAACATGACTGGCGTTTAGCCTATACAGTGCATTCGGAAAGTATTCAGACCCCTTGACTTTTTCCACATTTTGTTAGTTACATTACAGCCTTATTCTAAAATTGATTAAATCATTTTTTCCCTCATCAATCTACACACAATACCCCATAATGACAAAGCAAAAACAGGTTTTTAGATTTTTTTGCTAATAAAAAAAAATAATAATCACATTTACATAAGTATTCTGTACCTTTACTCAGTATTTTGTTGAAGCACCTTTGGCAGCGATTACAGCCTCGAGGCTTCTTGGGTATGACGCTACAAGCTTTGGGGAGTTTCTCCCATTCTTCTCTGCAGATCCTCTCAAGCTCTGTCAGGTTGGATGGGGAGCGTCGCTGCACAGCTATTTTCAGGTCTCTCCAGAGATGTTCGATCAGGTTCAAGTCCTGGCTCTGGCTGGGCCACTCAAGGACATTCAGAGACTTGTCCCGAAGCCACTCCTGCGTTGTCTTGGCTGTGTGCTTAAGGTTGTTGTCCTGTTGGAAGGTGAAACCTTCACCCCAGTCTGAGGTCCTGAGCGCTCTGGAGCAGGTTTTCATCAAGGATCTCTCTGTTCTTTGCTCCGTTCATCTTTCCCTCGATCCTGACTAGTCTCCCAGTCCCTGCCACTGAAAAACAGCCCCACAGCATGATGCTGCCACCACCATGCTTCACCGTAGGGATGGTGCCAGGTTTCCTCCAGACGTGACGCTTGGCATTCAGGCCAAAGAGTTTAATCTTGGTTTCATCAGACCAGAGAATCTTGTTTCTCATGGTTTGAGAGTCTTTAGGTGCCTTTTGGCAAACTTCCATCTGGCCACTCTACTATAAAGGCCTGATTGGTGGAGTGCTGCAGAGATGGTTGTCCTTCTGGAAGTTTCTCCCATTACCACAGAGGAACTCTGGACCTCTGTCAGAGTGACCATCGGGTTCTTGGTCACCTCCCTGACCAAGGCCCTTCTCCCTCGATTGCTCAGTTTGGCCGGACGGCCAGCTCTAGGAAGAGTCTTGGTGGTTCCAAACTTCTTCCATTTAAGAATGATGGAGGCCACTGTGTTCTTGGGAACCTTCAATGCTGCAGAAATGTTTTGGTACCCTTCCCCAGATCCATGCCTCGACACAATCCTGTCTCGGAGCTCTACGGACAAGTCCTTCGACCTCATGGCTTGGTTTTTGCTGACATGCACTGTCAACTGTGGGACCTTATATAGACAGGTGTGTGCCATTCCAAATCATATCCAATCAATTGAATTTACCACAGGTGGACTCCAATCAAGTTGTAGAAACATCTCAAGGATGATGAATGGAAGCAGGATGCACCTGAGCTCAATTTCAAGTCTCATAGCAAAGGGTCTGAAAATAAGGTATTTCTGTTTTTTATTTGTAATAAATTAGCAAAAATGTCTAAAAACCTGTTTTCCCTTTGTCATTATGGGGTATTGTGTATTGATTGCTGAGGGAAAACATTTATTTAATCAATTTCTGAATAAGGCTGTAATGTAACAAAATGTGGGAAAAGGGGTCTGAATACTTTCCTAATGCACTGTATATATGTAATTAAAAAGTCTCATTAAAGATTGTGTACATTTATATACACTTACATACATTCTTAACAGAATAGCTAGTGTTTTTTGGTTTTCAAATCTATTTAAATTGGCTATTTTGGTTAATGACCTTGGTGCCCAGGCAGATTGGGCCTCTTGAAAGCCAAAATGGCCCCTAAAATCACATAAATCCAGGCCTGCAACGGCGCCTGCATCGTCCGTGGATCTGTCAGGTCGGTAGGTGAATTGGAGAGGGTCGAGTGTCTTGGGGAGGGAGGAGGTGATGTGGTCTTTGACTAGCCACCAGAAGCACTTCAGGATGACGGAAGTGAGCGCTACGGGTCTGTAGTCATTCAGCTCAGTTACTTTCCCTGGGATGTTAATACCACACCTGGGTGGAAGCTTTCAATATACATTTGTTTCCCTAATTTACTGAAGTGCTTCCATTATTTTGGGCAGTTACGTGAAACTGAGTTGAATTGGTTAAACTAACTCCTCGTGCCATCAAATTGCCAGATTTTTCAAGAGGGTGGTCACGTCAAGTGTGTTTGAGAGACAGAGGATCCAATACCGAGTGAGGATGGAGGGAAGCTATACTGCAACACAGTGACACTGCATTACATACACACTGAGATGGAGCGCTGAAACACAAGATGCAGACAGGAAAGATGAAAGGGTTGTTATTGGCACTGTTCTGTACCTTGTGAAGCATGATGGCCACGAAGACAATGAGCTGAACACTGGTCTGGGAGGTGGAGGCGGCTGCTCCGAGAGCCACGCCGTCCGCTGGAAGATCAGAAATCACCTTTATTTGCCATGTACATTATACAAAACATTTAAGAAACACCTGCTCTAAAGATAGGTCAATTAGACACGCATTCGGTCGTTATATTAATGTAGCATAGGCTATGCTGCAGCAAATGCAGGGCCTACCTGTGACAAGAAACAAAGTGACCATGGTGAGATGATAGGTCCACATGCATTGGTACCATGGTGAGATGATAGGTCCACATGCATTGGTACCATGATGAGATGATAGGTCTACATGCATTGGTACCATGGTGAGATGATAGGTCTACATGCATTGGTACCATGGTGAGATGATAGGTCTACATGCATTGGTACCATGGTGAGATGATAGGTCCACATGCATTGGTACCATGGTGAGATGATAGGTCTACATGCATTGTGAACTGCACTCCATACTGAGATGGGTCTGTCCCCACCCTGAGCGTTGATTCATCATGCAGAGGTCGTAGAGAAGCCAGATTTAGACATCACATATCATTTAAACAACTCCATTTCACGCCATGCTGTTCATAGAAATATTTTATAATAATTTGATCGGTTTCTCTCAGTTATTTATCCCGTGAAAAGGGAGTGGTTCTGGGCGGTGATTCCCGGTAAAATCTCGGTAACCGGGTTCCCGCCATTCACACACACTGACCAGGTAAATCCAGGTGAAAGCTATGATCCCTTATTGATGTCACTTGTTCAATCAGTGTAGATGAAGGGGAGGAGACAGGTTAAAGAACGATTTGTAAACCTTGAGTCAATTGAGACATGGATTGTGTATGTGTGCCTTTGAACGGGGTATGGTAGTAGGTGCCAGGCACACCGATTTTTGTCAAGAACTGCAACGCTGCTGGGTTTTTCCACGCTCAACAGTTTTTCACGCTCATGTGTATCAAGAATGGTCCACCACCCAAAGGACATCCAGCCAACTTGACACAACTGTGGGAAGCATTGGAGTCAACATGGGCCAGCATCCCTGTGGAACGCTCGACACCTTGTAGAGTCCATGCCCCGACAAATTGAGGCTGTTCTGAGGGCAAAAGGGTGCGCAACTCAATATTAGGAAGGTGTTCATAATGTTTGGTATACTCGGTGCGTATGTACCAGGAATTTAACCTGATGAATGGTGCTGCTTTAATAAACAGAATATATACCCGAAATAATTGGCAATCCACACACAGTATGTAGAATAGATAGATGCAGAATCCTCCAACAAGCCTCCATAGCCTTCCACTCTCTCTTCTTCCTAAAACGTCTCGGTCTGAAACATTGTATAATGAAGCCATCTTACCTGCTGCGTGGACCACCAGTCCCAAGGTTGTGGTGATCTTTGAGCTGGCAATCCTCGCAGACTCCGGATCTAAACAAAACGCACGCACCAAATCAGACAGACCGCTCAATGGACACATCTCGCTGTAACAAAGCAGAACCCTGAGGGCTGATTTCCCTGGACAGATTGAGACGTGGCGATGCTCCACTGAGCCAGGACTAGGCTTAATCTGTCCAGTGAAACGGCCCCGAGAGAGATGAGCTCACTGTCCAGGGAAACGGCCCCGAGAGAGATGAGCTCACTGTCCAGGGAAACGGCCCCGAGAGAGATGAGCTCACTGTCCAGGGAAACGGCCCCGAGAGAGATGAGCTCACTGTCCAGGGAAACGGCCCCGAGAGAGATGAGCTCACTGTCCAGGGAAACGGCCCCGAGAGAGATGAGCTCACTGTCCAGGGAAACGGCCCCGAGAGAGAGATGAGCTCACTGTCCAGGGAAACGGCCCCGAGAGAGATGAGCTCACTGTCCAGGGAAACGGCCCCGAGAGAGAGATGAGCTCATCCCACACTGGCTGCCACTGCTGTGTGTCAAATCAAATCAAATTGTTATTTGTCACATGCGCCGAATACAACAGGTGTAGACCTTACCGTGAAATGGTTACTTACAAGCCCTTAACCAACAATGCAGTTCAAGAAATAGAGTTTAGAAAATAATTACTGAATAAACTAAAGTAAAAAATTAAATAAAAGTAACACAATAAAATAACAATAACGAGGCTATATACAGGGGGTACCGGTACCGAGTCAATGTGCGGGGGTACAGGTTAGTCGAGGTAATTTGTACATGTAGGTAGGGGTAAAGTGACTATGCATAGATAATAAACAGTAAGTAGCAGCAGTGTAAAAACAAAGGGGGGGGGGGTCAGTCAATGTAAATACTCCGGGTGGCCATTTGATTAATTGTCCAGACTGACCGTCAGCGCTGCTGTGGGTGTGTGTATGTGTATATATATATGTGTGTGTGTGTGCAGACTGACCGTCAGTGCTGCTGTGTGTGTGTGTGTGTGTATATATATATATGTGTGTGTGTGTGTGTGTGTGTGTATGTGTATATATATATGTGTGTGTGTGTGCAGACTGACCGTCAGTGCTGCTGTGACTGACTAAATACTTTTTCCCCCACTGTATATATGTATGTGTGTGTGTGTGTGTGTGTGCGCAGACTGACCGTCAGCGCTGCTGTGTGTGTGTGTGTGTGTGTGTATATATATGTATGTGTGTGTGTGCAGACTGACCGTCAGTGCTGCTGTGTACGTGGGCGCTTCCTATCTGGTCGACCAGCAGCATGAAGACGAACCCCAGGACCAGGGAAACCCCGATGTAGGCATGGAGGTGTTGGTGGCTGTGGCTGTGCTCCCCACCGACCCCCAGAGCTGCATCCACACCCTCCTTGGGCTCAGACACCCCCACCCCCTCCGCCTGGACAGGGGCATGGTGCACACCTACAGAGAGAGAGAGACAGAGACCCTAACTCATACAGTAGATTCAGAGACCCTAACCCATATACAGTAGATTCAGAGACCCTAACCCATACAGTAGATTCAGAGACCCTAACCCATACAGTATATTCAGAGACCCTAACCCATACAGTAGATTCAGAGACCCTAACCCATACAGTAGATTCAGAGACCCTAACCCATACAGTAGATTCAGAGACCCTAACCCATATACAGTAGATTCAGAGACCCTAACCCATACAGTAGATTCAGAGACCCTAACCCATACAGTAGATTCAGAGACCCTAACCCATACAGTAGATTCAGAGACCCTAACCCATACAGTAGATTCAGAGACCCTAACCCATACAGTAGATTCAGAGACCCTAACCCCATATACAGTAGATTCAGAGACCCTAACCCATACAGTAGATTCAGAGACCCTAACCCATACAGCAGATTCAGAGACCCTAACCCATACAGTAGATTCAGAGACCCTAACCCATACAGTAGATTCAGAGACCCTAACCCATACAGCAGATTCAGAGACCCTAACCCATACAGTAGATTCAGAGACCCTAACCCATACAGTAGATTCAGAGACCCTAACCCATACAGTAGATTCAGAGACCCTAACCCATACAGTAGATTCAGAGACCCTAACCCATACAGTAGATTCAGAGACCCTAACCCATACAGTAGATTCAGAGATGTTCTCACTGTTACCTACTTGGACTTGCTAACAACACTTCCTACCAGGGGTTGGAACCAGTTCAGGGAACAGAACCCAAAATCGGAAAAACAACAAAACATTTCTAGGAACAGAACCGAGAACTAAAAACAGTCTGTATTTTTTTATCACATCCCACAAAAAAACGCAATAAAGCGCCTTGGCAAAGCCATCACTGTCATTCAGAAACGTATGCCAGTGTCTGCCAGCTGAACTTTGCCAGTGTGTGTGTAGGTTAACTCTGGTGCCGCTCTGTTTATTTTTTAGGGGGGGTAGATCAGCTTTAATATTGCAGATAGATTGTAACTACCATCAATGTAATTGTCTGCATCACTTCCAATCCCACATATGTTTTGATTTTTTTTATTCTCGCACACAAGCTTGTTAACTGGCTCTGGTCTAGCGCTAGAAAAGGCTAGGCATCATTATGTGAAATGTCATATAACTGAGAGTCATGATCAAGGGTTAACTCTGGTCCAACGTTAGTTAAGCCAACTCTCTGAATGTTAAAGACATTCAAAGTTCCTTCATAGAAGCCGCTCCTCCGTAGGTATAATTCTGTGGGCCTAATTCAGATAATGCATGTCATGACAACAAGACGCCCAGCGCTTCATGCCCAGCTCTCTCCTCACCCACTACATTTCAGTGGCATCCTACCCTACACTTGTCTGTCCAATGCATGTCCATAGCATGCCCGCTCCATAGCAAGCTGCTCCCTCCATTGGTGAAGTCATTCATTTAATGTTGAGCTAAATGTAAAACAAAAATAATTTCAGAGGTTTAAAAAGGAACAAAAAAAAAAAAGAAGATGATTCTGTTCATTTACATTTTAGTCATTTAGCAGACGCTCCAAAGCAATTTATGAAACGATTGGAAAATAATATTGGTTCTAACCCCTGCTTCCTACAGACACAACAACTCAAACACATGCAGAACAGACAATCACCATTACATAGTGCACTACTTTTGACTAGAGCCCCATAGGTCCTGGTCTAAAGTAGTGCACTATAAAGGGAATAGGGTGGTGTTTGGTACGCAGCCTAGAGTCTCACCCTCCAGGACCTCCTCATACAGGGCATGGACCCCCTCAGGGATGATGACAGCCAGGGCAGTACCACACAGCAGCCCTGCTCCTAGGACCGTCACCAGCTTCAGCTTCTCCTGCAGGACAAGACAGAGAGGACAGAGGGTTCAGCAGCAGGACAACCAGGGCAGAGGGTTCAGCAGCAGGACAGGACAACCAGGGCAGAGGGTTCATCAACAGGACAGGACAACCAGGACAGAGGGTTCATCAACAGGACAGGACAACCAGGGCAGAGGGTTCATCAACAGGACAACCAGGGCAGGGGATTCATCAACAGGACAACCAGGACAGAGGGTTCAGCAGCAGGACAGGACAACCAGGGCAGAGGGTTCATCAACAGGACAGGACAACCAGGGCAGAGGGTTCAGCAGCAGGACAGGACAACCAGGACAGGGGGTTCATCAACAGGACAGGACAACCAGGACAGAGGGTTCATCAACAGGACAGGACAACCAGGACAGAGGGTTCATCAACAGACAGACAACCAGGACAGGGGGTTCATCAACAGGACAGGACAACCAGGGCAGAGGGTTCACCAACAGGACAGGACAGGAGAGAGGGATCAATAGTCCACACATGACCTTTGGCCTCGCAATAGCGATTATTAGGCTGAAGAAGTAGAATTGTATGTGACGGTTTGAACAAAATCTGATTGATACGCCTTTGCTACACTAATATGTGTGCATTTAAGCGCATAGTAATTTCAGTAGCTAAGGACTTCAGCTGAAGACTCCACTTCAAGTAGAATTTTGTTACTGAGCAAAGTTATAGTTTGAGTGCTACTCACCTCTGAGAAGTTGACAGCCAGAGGAATGGTTCCGGCCACATAACACCCCACCAGCATTGCCAGGGACAGCATGCTGATCGAAGTGAAGTCGTCCATAGACATAGTTGCAGCTGTGCTTTGTTAGTTTGATAGCAACAATTAGCCTGACTACTGGCAAGTGGTAGCTAGCGCGGTAAACTCAGACAAGTCTGAATCCAGACACTGACTAGCTAGATAGGCTGGCAAGCTTGATTGCTAGACAGATAACGCCAAGTGTAAGAAAATAATAAATAAAAGGCACTCTTTTCCCGCTAGCACTGACTTTGCTGATAAATACTTTGTTGAGGGAAAATGTACATGATACGATAGTGATGTGTCGTTGTCTCACCCAGCTATCTTAAGATGAATGCACTAATTGTAAGTCGCTGTGGATAAGAGCGTCTGCTAAATGACTAAAATGTCAAACAAACAATGATCACACGAATCGACTTCGCAGCAACGATAGCTAGCTAAAACTAGCTACACAGAGGTCTAACAGCCATGTTGTCAGTTCGCTATCTAGCCAAATAACTCGACGATTTAGCTAGGCACCACGATATTGACCTTGAACACGGTTGTTTATGCAATCATGTCAATCTAGTTAATCAGATTCTTACTTTTGCAGAAATCTAAACATCGTCTAGTAGCTAACTTGCTGTAACGTTAGTAAATGAGATAGCTAGCCTAACAATCTTCCCTCACAACTAGTCTTGTTGCCTAGGCTGCAGCGGACACGTCGTCATTCCTAGAAAGTGTATTGCCCATATCTTACTCTCCAATGTAGCTATTTGTTATAAAAATTGTATCAAAACTACCTACACTTATCTATTATTCTTTATAGCTACCTAGCTCGAAATGTTTTTGCCAAATGTAGCACTTCCGGGTAACACTCATTGCTCATGCATGCCACGTAACCGTTGCCATACGCATGCACATAATATGTATTATTTCTCTGTTTACTTTTCTTCACTGACTTTGTGGACCGATACGTCAGATGTTACAAACATAAACCAATGTATTACATGTATAAAAAGTATAACCGTTTCAGCTGGTTGTGGTTCATCTTTTCTTAGAACTAATCAGAAAAGTATTCTCTCTCCCTGAGCCACATTCTCCGCTAGGGGGCGCTTCTGTTGACGGGCCGTTAGCGCCCCCTGGCGGAGAATGTGGCTAACTCCCACTGCTGCAACTCTACAATACGAACATAAATTGCACACTTCATTTTTTAAAAAGCTTATTTTTATCATATCATTATTTTTATTTGGCCTTTATTCAACCAGGTAAGTCATTAGAACATATACTATTTTGCCATAACGGCATGTACCCTATGCCTCAAACACAGATGAAAGGGTTGCTATGATAATCTTTACATCAGTGTCTTTCATCATGTGACTTCCTCATCTCTGACTGACTGCCATGAGTGACATCAGAGTGACATCATGTTAGTTCTGCTGATTTTGTCTTGTAAAACATTCCCATTGAGAACATTTATATTCCACTATGATGATGACAATATTATGAGGACAAAAATCTGGATTTTCTTCATTACATTCGTTACACTGTCTAATCATTCTCGTCTGTGCTATTCTGAACTCATGAATGTGTTTCTCAAGGTTTAACTCTTGTTTTGTATCCCCCCCCCCCCCCCCCCCCCCCCCCCCCCCCCTCTACAGGCCTGTCTCTAAAGTAGCCTCCTGATGTACTGGTAGAGTTGGGGAAACCAGTCAATCTAAGTTGTGTTCAGGACAACACCACCAAGACTGGCATGTTCTGGTACCAGAAGAGAGGAATGCACTACTGGACAAGTGGACTAACTCTGCATCTTCTGTTAGAATCATTTCAATGTGTTCCTGTCCATATAAGCCAATTCCCCTGAGTGAAAAGGGTTAAAACAGTTTTAAACTGGTCCAATGTGTGTCTCTCAGTTCCTTCTTCGTTTGGCCATGCAGTGTTGGTGGTGGATGTAGAGGCTGAAGGCCTCTCTCTGACTGTCTGTGGATGTAGAGGCTGAAGGCCTCTCTCTGACTCTGTCTGTGGATGTAGAGGCTGAAGGCCTCTCTCTGACTGTCTGTGGATGTAGAGGCTGAAGGCCTCTCTCTGACTGTCTGTGTTAGAGGCTGAAGGCCTCTCTCTGACTGTCTGTGGATTTGGTGGCTGAAGGCTCTCTCTTAGACTGTTGTGGATGTAGAGGATGAAGGCTTCAGGGAAGAAGGAGAGGAAACCTACTACTGATCATTCTGTGCTGAAGACTCAGCTCTCTCACAGTGCGGTGTACTGCTGTGCCATACAGGGTACCCAGTGAACCCTGCACCTGGGGCCCTGACAAAAAAACGACTTATAGAAGCAGGCAGCCACAGAGCTGAGGAGGGTGGGTGTGTGGTGTGTGTGTGTGTGTGTGTGTGTGTGTGTGTGTGTGTGTGTGTGTGTGGTGCGGGTGGTGGTGCGTGGTGGTGCGGCGTGCGTGCGTTGCGGCGGGCGCGGGTGCGTGTGCGTGTGTGTGTGTGCGTGAGTGTAAAATGAACAGTTAGTTTCATTTCTATCTTCTATATTGTATATTATTCATGTTTGTCAAGTTACTGATTGGTGTAATCCAATTGTATTGTTATATTGTCAAAGGAAACAATAAAAACTAGAATAAAACGAGAAAAAAAAAGAATTGTCAAAACTAATGACAATACACACACACTGAATGACCAGTATATCCCCCTACCCCCCCAGGTATAGACCAGTATATCCCCCTACCCCCCAGGTATAGACCAGTATATCCCCCTACCCTCCAGGTATAGACCAGTATATCCCCCTACCCTCCAGGTATAGACCAGTATAACCCCCTACCCTCCAGGTATAGACCAGTATAACCCCCTACCCCCCAGGTATAGACCAGTATATCCCCCTACCCCCCAGGTATAGACCAGTATATCCCCCTACCCCCCAGGTATAGACCAGTATATCCCCCTACCCCCCAGGTATAGACCAGTATATCCCCCTACCCCCCAGGTATAGACCAGTATATCCCCCTACCCCCCGGGCACAGGCATAGAGCTCTCCCATTAAAATCTAAGAGAGCAGCTTCTAGTTTTGTGCCAACATCCATCAAACTCCTTAACTCTTGAAGTTTTGATTTTGTATTTGTTTATGCAGTGTATGTGTATATACCCTGGGATTGCACAGAATGCTTCTAATCCTTCATACTGTAGCCTACACGTTTTACTGTTCTGTGCTGTTGTCTTGTATTTACCATTCATCACCACACATTAACTTCCCTCCCAGGAATACAAGTTATAAGAATTGAATTGAATTGAAGATGGAGGTGGAACACATCTGTCTGTCTGCTGTGTGGCCTAACCCAGCTGACTCCTCCTACCTGATGGAAGATAAGGAACTGTTTCTCTATAATCATTGTGATGTCATTTCCTGACTCCTCCCTTGTTCATGTAGCCTATTCACAGCCTGTGTGCTCCAGAACGGCCACCTCTGTTACAACGCTACAAGTTTTAGGGTCGGACACCGTAGCAGCAGCTGATAAATTAGTCACAGATTACAAGACTAGTAAAACCTTTTCACAGATAGTTACAAATTACAACTATATCTTCATTTATTTTGTTGTCATCATGATCATTGTAGTCTTCTTAGTCTGCTCTCTATATCTGCCATGGACCAAGGGTGAGAAAAAATAGTGAGATGAGAGAGATTGATATGGACTGATGGTTTTTCCAGTGTTCAATACTTTCCCCTCCCCATTTCCGTAATTCCCCTACCACTCTTCCTGTCTGACTCACTTTCCCTCTCCCCCCATATCCTTATCCCTATCATCTCAATTAATTAATCAAAGGGCTTCCTCCTCCTCTCCAGGTTTCGTACATATCTCACCAGTTCCTTATCTCATAAATCCATGGAAGCTCTGTTCTAACCATCCACCCCCAGTATAGACGATTCCCTACCCAGGAAACAGTTATCCTACCCCAGTGACCTATATCCTCCCCATATAGACGATACCAATCCACCCCAGGTTCAGATAGCA